TGTGTGTGTGTGTGTGTGTGTGTGTGTGAGAGAGAGAGAGAGAGAGAGAGAGAGAGAGAGAGACAGCGTCACATCACATCACAGTAGAGTCAGCTGTCTTAACCACGGCTTGTGTACTGCATTATTACTGTGTCTGTTCCCCTTTCGGGCTTAAACTGATGGTAAAACTAATGACATTATTTACTGTCTTTACATTTATTTTGAAAGATGAAGCTTGTGATTATGGTAAGGGGTGTTACATTTCCGACGAGTGCTTGCGGTGTTCGGCCAATCACAATGCACTGGGTCAGCTGGCCAATCAGAGCAGACTGCACTTGTCGGAAGGAGGGACTTTTTGTTGAAAACGAAGCGTTTGAGAGAGGCGGGGCATAGAGGACCTACAATAATGTACAGTATTTGAAAAATAATGTGTTTTTTGAACATTAAAGTATGTCAACATATTCAGTTACACCAAATACACAAAATAATGATCTTTAAAAAAGCATCATATGACCCCTTTAAGCTGGTCCTTAGTTGGTCATGAACTGGTTCAAGCTGGTCCTGAGCTGGTTATAAGCTGGTTATGAGCTGGTTCTGAGCTGGTTCTGAGCAGGAGCTAGTTGCTTAGGACCAGCACATGACCATCTTAAACCAGCTCAAACCAGCTGCCTTGCTTCAAAACATACCAGCATATGCTGTTGTTTTCAACAGGGCTACTTTTCATGAGAAGCCAATCCTATAATGCACTGTATTGAGCTCAGGGAAACAAATTGATCCAAAACGATGGATGAATCCAGACAAATGTTGTAAGTATTGATCAAATATTCTGTGCATTTCTGTAGTTATTGGAGTATTGTGTTGTTAGCTTAGCAACACACCAGTGCAAAACTCTTTTGAAATGAATTGCATTCCATTTCATGCATAATCTCGTTTCATCCCAGTTAAGGCAGCTGTCTGTAGTCAGGAGAGCGAGTCAGTTGAGCTGTAGTGTCTGTGATGCTGATGTGATATCTGTAATGGTGTGCTCTCAGAGAAATAATCAGCAGAAATGCCTGCTTGTGTGGAGGAAGTGTTCTAGAAAGCTTCACTAAGAGTTTGGATGAAGTACTTGAAGTACAGCTGCTGTCATCTACTCTCCTGCATTATACCACTCATTCGATTTTTCTATACATGTAAGACCCCTCAGTGCAGTTTTTTTTTACATTAGTGAGTCATTTATACGGCTTGTAGACTTGAGAACTGTTATGTGAGAGAAATAAGCAATTGTGAGATATAAAGTCACAATTACTTTTTTTAAATACATTTTTTACCGGCTTCCATAAGGACCTGGGTCATATCTAGAGACCAGAATATCTCTCTGTAAAGTATAAGCATATGCCCTGTTCTTTTTCACTTCAAAAATGTACGTTTTACAGTATTTTATTGTAAAATAACATGAAATGTCCCATTAGATCAGCTGCAGTTTTTCACTTCACACTTAACCAATTAACAGGTTTTTATCGTAGCATTTTAAGTCTTTTTAAAATTTGTTATTGTTGTTGTTTTTATTTACTGTAAATTTAGGTTCAATCTGTAAAACTTAACATGTTGTTACTGTATATTTTACCGTTTTTTTTCTCACCATAAGCACCATATTAAGGGAAGTTAACAGGTTTTTAAGTGTTTTGCCATTAAAATTATGATTTATTTTATTCTTATATTTTATATAAGCTAGTACCACTCAAATCTTGTAATTATACAAAAGCGAGGAAACATTTGAGAGGGTTCATTTACATTTGATCTCACTGTACTTGTTCCGAATTTTAATGTTTCTAAATGTAATTTCATTGATGTCTTCATGAATACTGAATGTTTTGAAGATAATGATGCTTTAGCTCTGGCAGTGAGAGATACGGCTCTGATCCCACTTTCCAGTGCTTTGTTGGCCTGGGATGGAAGGGTGGAGAGGGTATGGAAAGGGGGCAGGGGAAGAGATTCTCCTCATAAATATGTATGAAAAAAGTGTGTGTCTGCGAAATGAATGTCCCACGAGACTCGTACAAGCTAACACACATGCACTGGTCCACATGCACACACATCCAGTGCTGCTCTGGCCCTGTGACGGGGACTGTCTGTGTTTGATGCTCAACACTCTGGGACAGAATCAGTCACTCCTCCTGGATTAGTGTAGACACAACTGAGAAGGGGAATGGGCTGGAATGGAGTACACTTAAAAATAAAGCCTCCAAAAGGGGGTTTTCACAGAACAACTATTTTGGGTTGCCCAAAGATCCTTTCAGGGGAAGTCGTTGCCTAATGGTTAGAGAGTCGGACTAGCAACCCAAATGTTGCGGGTTCGAGTCTCGTACCGGCAGGGATTGTAGGTGGGGGGAGTGAATGTACAGCTCTCTCTCCCACCTTCAATACCACGACTGAGGTGCCCTTGAGCAAGGCACCGAACCCCCAACTGCTCCCCGGGCGCCGCAACAAAAATGGCTGCCCACTGTTCCGGGTGTGTGTTCACGGTGTGTGTGTGTGTGTGCACTTTGGATGGGATAAATGCAGAGCACTAATTCCGAGTATGGGTCACCATACTTGGCCACATGTCACGTCACTTTCACTTTTTGAAGAGTGAAGAACATTTTAATAATCTGAAGAACCTTATTCTGCTATAAAGAACATTCTGTGGATTGGAAAGAGTCCATGGATGTTAATGGTTCTTCATGGAACCATCAATGCCAATAAAGAACCTTGACAAATAGAGTGGAGGATAACAATAGTGGATGTTTTGGATGAAGTGATGCTTAAAAACTAATGGAAAACAAATGCAGATCAATAACAGTGAAAGCTTTGTGTGTTTCAGTCTGTGCTGAACTCTTTCTCCAGGGGAATAAGGATCTGTGCAGTACGTCTCAATGCAGAATTGATAATCAGGATTTGTGGACGTTTGATGTGATGTGGTGATATTTTTAAAAGGGATTTTTGAAGGTACAGGATCTGCTGTGTGGATTTTAATGGAGGCAGAGACTTGCATTTATACAGTCTTCTGACTTTATGTTTTCAGCACTGTTTGCTATTTGATTTCTTGTTGAAAATCCTGTTTACAGCTATTTCATGATGATTTGTAAGGTTCAACAATGTACTAGTACCGTTCAGAAGTTTTCTTTTGTTTCTTTTGCTCACCAAGGCTGCATTAATTTCAAAAATACAGTAAAAACAGTAATATTGTGAAATATTATTACAATTTCAAATAACTATTTTCTATTTAAATATATTTTAAAATGCAATTTATTCCTGTGATGCAAAGTCCTTTTCAGCATCATTACTCCAGTCTCCAGAAAATGCTGAAAACAGTTGTGCTGCTGTGAATTGTAACAATGAACTGTTACAATTATACACTTATTTTCACATAGCTATGAGAAGCGTTATACATGGACGCGCGTGCAGTTGCCGTACTGTATTAAAGCTTTAATCAGGATAAAACCGTATATTAAAAGCTAACATAAGCATTAGCATTTACAAATAACAGCATATCTAAAAGTATGAGACAACAACAAACAAAAAACATAGGCCTACCATTAAAAGCTGTGCTTGCACAGGTTCTGCACAATCCTCTTCAATAATATCCTCTGCTTCTCATTCGGGCTCAAACTGATAAGCGATATTAAGGACGCCGTTGTTTACAATACAACCGGAGCACATGACGCTGAGGTGAGGGGCGGGACGTTTAGCACTAGAGGCGGTTTAGCCAATCACAACACACTGGGCTAGCTAACCAATCAGAGCCCATCGCTTATTTCTG